AGAACCTACTGCTGTGCCGAGTGATGGCACGGTTCGTGACAGTGATCACTTTTGGTAATTACTTTGTTGATCGATAAAACGACGACGATCAATTTTTTTCGTGATGGAATTGTGTAGGGATCTGTAACCTCTGTAGGAATTGCACCCAGGATTGAATATCGTTTATGTATTTAGATGAAGAATGTTTTACTAGCTGAGCTCGTGGTTCACAATGAGGATCACTGATTGCTTTCTTCATAGATGATGTAGACAAGGAGAAAAATCTTCAGCCAAGACAGATGAAGTGGTGAGTTGATATGTGATTTTCTACTTGTGGATGTTGTGTACTCGTGTTTGCACACCTATTGCAGAGAAAGGAAACAATGATTCGTACCGAAAAAGGAGCATGGTTGAAGTGAGAAAAGAAAAAACAGGTTTGATTGCACCTCATGACAGCATTAGTTGATGCATATCACAGGAAACAATGCGCAGCTCATTTTTTCTGGCAGCTATTTTAGAACTGAACCTGCGGGTTGAGCGACAGATACAGTTGCCGCTTGAGCACACGGTTTCAAGGGGCAATATTTAGTACATAAGAAAACTGACTCATACGTTTCTGATCTCAAGTAGACCATGAGTTTTAACATAAATTGAATCAGTCAACCACCTGCAGTCAATCAATCAATCAATCAATCAGTCAGTCAGTCAGTCAATCGGTCAGTCAGCTGCAGTCATTCAATCAGTCAGTTAGCTGTAGTCAGTGAGTCAGTGAGTGAGTGAGTGAGTGAGTGAGTGAGTGAGTCAGTCAGTCAGTCAGTCAGTCCGTCAGTCAGTTAGTCGGGTCAGTCAGTCAGTCAGTCAGTCAGTCAGTCAGTCAGTCAGTCAGTCAGTCAGTTAGTCAGTCAGTCAGTCAGTCAGTCAGTCAGTCAGTCAGTCAGTCAGTCAGTGAATCAGTCAGTCAGTGCAGTGAGTCAGTCAGTCAGTCAGTCAGTCAGTCAGTCAGTCAGTCAGTCAGTCAGTCAGTAATCAGTCAGTCAGTCAGTCAGTCAGTCAGTCAGTCAGTCAGTCAGTCGTCCGTCAGTGAGTCAGTCAGTCAGTCAGTCAGTCAGTCAGTCAGTCACAGTCAGGCAGTCAGTCAGTCAGTCAGTCAGTCAGTCAGTCAGTCAGTCAGTCAGTCAGTTAGGGGAGTCAGTCAGTCGCTGAGTCAGCTGCAGTCAGTCAGGCAGTCATTCATTCATTCATTCATATTTCTTTCAGTCAGTCAGTCAGTCAGTCAGTCAGTCAGTCAGTCAGTCAGTCAGTCAGTCAGTCAGGCTGTCAGTCATTCAGTCACGAAAAACTTTATTCACTCCGATCGATCGATTTTGGGCTCATTGCACACCAAGGTGGCCACATACAGTCCCAGGGCAAAAGTAAAGTACAGTTACAGATATCGAAGCTAGTGTCATATTGCGCAAATGAATTTTATTTACCAACAGGTTTTTCCGATGAATGCTATTTGTGCCGGAAATTTCGAAAGAAATGTGGGGACACAACAACAGTGGTCAGTATTCAGAGTGCCGAAGTGAATAACTATTGACTAAAAGATCGCGATCGAAATTTAAATAAACACTATTGAAATATTTTTCAAAGTGCAGTTGAAATAGAAAAATCACAGATCTGGGAAATAGCAATACCAATGTATTGCAAACAATATACCAGGGGAATAGTGTGATTGCCAGAGTACAAAACGTTTTTTTCAATCCAACATATCCGTTTTCCTTAGATGCGGACGTATTCTCTCTACATCAAAAGGTGGCTAAATATTCAGAATACTTCTGATAAAAAGATCATTTGGGTTGCTGAGCAGGTCTCTAATATGGGAACAGAATGAGAAGAGAAAAACGAACATTATCTTATCTTCCCTGAAACACAAAAGAATCGACCCGTTTCGAGCCAGACGTTAGTTCTAACAAATATGATGAACAATCCGACATCTGGTAGACACACAAAACTCTGTCTCTATAGAAGCATTTAAAGACAATACTGTAGTCGAGGAAATGCACACAAACAACTACTGTGCCAAGCCTCTATTCGGATTGTAAAACTGATTTTACCAAGTAAGCAAGGTTCGTTTTGATGTAGAACTGTTTGCGTTGATCAAACGATTACTGAATTGAGTGTTCAGCATTGTAGCTTCCATATTTTTNTTTTTTCGCGGGGGGGGGGGTCTAGTTTGATTGATCCTAATGTTTGAGATTTGAGCCGCGCTAGGCAGACAGATTAATGGGATTTGTATAGATATGAAACGCTCCGGTAGAGAATTTGTATTGTGCTGTATCATACCGAAGCTTTAGCGAGTTGTATACAAACTTTCAGCCAGAAACTAGACCACTGTTACAATTTTGGTGGAAAGAGGTGAAAAAGTGGGATGTGAAACGTACAAAAATATGAGTTAATTACAAGGTGTTTTAGAAAGCTCAGAAAGAACACTTTCCTGGTCAGTCAGTATCCGGGCAAGATAGGGTACCAAAGAGTTTCTCTATGCAGATATGCGAGACGGGATAAGTTCGTACTTAGCACGGGTGGCGGAGTGGGATTTGCATGCACACAAGTCAGAGTGTGCAGAGGATGGGTGCAATCAGATAGGTTGTTGTCAGCAAACCTCGAGCACGCATTCATATGGGCGTTACACTATTATCAATCAGTATAGATAACGGAACCTGGGAGACACGGCTAATCATTAAGAGATCACGTCTCAGCAACTTGAAATCAGCAAACCGGGGAAAACGGTATAGGGCGTACACATTGTTGAACGAGAGCGTCTATCACCGACATTTCGGAACAGAAGTGGTGCAGTCTTCTTATTTGAAAAGAGAGAACCTTCAACTCGCGAGCGTGGATACGACCGTGAGCAAGGTATGCGTAGAGCTAACAGTAGGCCCAAGTATTACACGCAATCGACCGACCGGCCAGTATCGGACAATCAGTGTATAAGGGCGAGGGCAGTGCAGTTCACAATTCAGTCAATGATAGAGTTGCAAAACCGTTTCTATATTCGCTAATTATCGTCCGAATTGGAACTCAGCAAACGGGATTCTGAAAATCAGCGGGGGGCAGGGTTTCGGATCCACTATTTTCCTGGCCCAAGTTTAAATAAAGAGAAATCTATTTCTTTTAAAAACAATATTCAATTATTTTTCATCATATCTCACCGCGAGCATACCGCAGTCCCACAGGGGGAATTTCACAGTCAGTGAAACGACGAACGACCGGAAACGAAAGGGATTGGAACCTTGTCTTGGTGACTGATTGCCATCGACGTTTGTTTCTCGTGTTGTCAGATGGGATCAGTTGCCATGACTCTCAGCCCCCCCCCGCCCTCCACCGGCTGCATCTCCCGTCTGGCTTTCACTGACTGCAGAATATCGTCAGAGAAACATACAGGGGAGAGTAGTAGACGGGTAAAGAGAGGACACATTTTTGAACGAAAGTGTCTCTCACCGACGAGTCAGAACAGAAGTGGAGCAGTCTTCTAATCTGAAGAGAGAGAACTTTCACATTGCGAGATTGTAAACATTTTCACGGGATGGTCTTAATGTATCCGTTGGTTCACGAAGGAACCTAATAGTCCTACAGTAAGTGTATACCTCACTGGTCCGCAGTCCTCGGGATAGCTGTATTAAAGCGTTTTAATAGCAAAGCGCTTTGTAAAATGTGTGGTCATTATATAACTGTGTGAAAGACAAAAACAAAAAACGACAGAATAGGTCGTTTTCGGAAGCGATATTGAACAGACATAAATTAAATCCTTATCAGTATAGGCTTAAAGAAAACAGAACTTCATGTCTCACCACATTGCTTGATCATAAATAATCATTGCTAAATACCAGAAAATAACTGCTGGAAGGGGGAAATCGTCAGCTGATGTCCAGAGAAAATTTTTATGGTTTTTTTTTCATGACAATCTGATGCATCCAATGTAATTTTGTGGTTCTGATATTACCCGATGATTTATTGCGTACTGCGTAATTTTTTTTTAAGTTTAAGGAGTTTTGGTTACTATTCCCAATATCCCAATATCACTTTAAGATGGTATCTTGCAAACTACGGAGGCTAGATAGCTATTGAAGCAAGTCGGTTGTTCAGTGAACAGTCGGGCTATTCAACATCGAGCAATTTTGGATATTACCTCGTCCACAGCGAATATGTTTTTAGAACGGGCCACACACCAATGCGTTTGGTTTGCGCTTGAAAGAGGATGGAAACAGATCACCACCACCACCATCACCGCCACAACCACCACCAGTGTACTCCGTCGGTTACACAAGTCCACAAGCTTTATAGGCTTCCGGTCGTTTAAAATACTACTCATGTGGAAGTGGAAGTATATTATCTCAAATTGTTATCGGAATATTTAAAATTTGGGTTAGAATAGCTTAGAACGAAATGGTGCAGTTTGTTTTTGGTACTACGCAATCTTCAAAGCAATTTTTGTGGATAGAAAGTTCAGATTTAATATCCATTCACCAGTCAAATAATTTTTTCTTCAATCTATGAGCTACATTTTTCTTGCCATCGATTCGCCTTCAATCCACGTGCTCATAAACACATCCCAAAATGTCCAAGGTGGAAGCCGGAGATAAAGTTATCTGCTTTTCATTCAGACTACCTGACGGGGGGGGCAGATTTGTAAAACCTTGGAAACCGGTCAATTTTACTGCAAGACCAAAAAGAACAGGATGTAACGAAGTTTTTATTTCATTCAGTATGCGATTGTTTTGCGGCCTTGATGTGGCACAGCACGGGCTGAAGACAACTTTGTAACGCGGGCTGTGGTTCTGTACAACTGGACGTGGGAGATTGGGCACGTGGCGGGTTGAGGGGGGAGAGAGTGGACCAAATAAACAAGATCAGAATAGAAATGGTCGGAGAAAAATATACATCACTCTCACTGCCTCTCGGTTTGTCTGTCTCGCACGTGCAGAAAGAGAGAATGACTACAATTCACTGGGTTCTGTTTTGTACTATTATACAGTCAGTCAAAATGTCACCATCTGTAGACTGTGGATTTCCTGAGTGCTCAAGTAATCGGTCACGACAAGCTCACGTGATTGTCCATCCTTGACAAGTTGTTTTCGCCACCAATAGTCTGATGCTATTCGCCATAATAGGGCCGGTAATTCGGCCAAGAAAACGATTACCGGTATACTGAACCAGAAGGTTGGACTTGAAACCAGATTCTTGTATATTGCTGCATGATATCCGGTCGGTTTTGCAAAGGTCTGGTACGAAAGGGAAGGTAAATTGAAAGAGAAGAGGGATTAGGATAGAGTTTGAATGCCTTTAGTCAACCGTTCATGAGGTAAGCTGGGCAAATTGGAAGGGATTTGCGCGAGATGGGATAAATGTCAAACACTCATGCCATGACATATCAAGTATTTGTAATAGCCTATTTGAAACTCAATTTTTTGTGTATGAATTTTATTGGACAGGAGTTTAGCTTACGTTTCCAATCAAACATGATTTTATTTACTAAAACGCATGATAAAAAGGGTTACATTCAAAGCTCAATAACCTTGTTCGCCTATCCGGTGTAATGTGATTAACACATTGTTCGTTTCAAACTAGTCCTTATTACATGGTTATCGAAATCCAACGTAGTTCAGTAAAATACACATTAGGTATTGCAAAGTTTGATTGTCATTTTCGAAAAAAGCGAACACAATAATTGTTTTTCCCATTGGTTTCTCCGATATTTTGTGGCATATTCTAGGTCTTTGCGTTCTCTTATTTCAAGGAAGATTCCCATAGGAATATCAAAAACCAAACAGTATAGCGAAAAGACTTGTTTTCGTAACTTCGTTTTCAGGCCTTTACAATTATGTGGGCGTGTTTATGTTTACGATAGAAAGGACCACAATGCATAAACCCCAAGCAAGGCCAAAGGAAATAACTAATTATTTTTGCAGTTCCCATTTAAAGGTGGTCTACTAAGAAGACGTCTGTAGAGAGCTATTGCACGAACTTTTCCAGCCGCCATTCTACGTTTGCTAGTTACAAGCCAGCCTCAGCTCTGCACAAACCTCAAGGATGAGATGTCCATCCTCTCCTCATCTATGATTAATTATTCCTTCACTTGCACATGTCCGGCAAGTTGTGTAGCACGAATGATGAGGCAGTTCTCCCAAATGATTAGAGAACATAAAACGGCATGGCTGAGAACGAATTGTAAGAAAACAATAACCAATGCAACTATGGTCCATCTCGCTGATACCGACCGGGCATCAACCAGACAACAATGCGTTCAAAATCATCTACAAAGTACCCCAAAACAAATCAAAGCAAGTTCGGAAACGTTACTTGGCAACAGTGGAAGGTGTAACAATCAAAATCATGAATCCATCACTGTGCAACCAGAAGAAGATGGTTGTCGCACTTCAGCTGCCTTGGCCCCAACCAAACCCACGTGATGACCTGAACCATGATCTCAGTCATGTCGTGATGACGCAACATTGTGTGACAAACGTGAAAAAAGTCACCGAAAGTTTCAGAATTGACCTTCCCCCCCCCCTCCTCTTCGCCCACTGTCCCCATTTTATCCACTCGTTCTGACTAAACCTGATAGACATTGTTGCAATTTCATGCTTAACCCTTATGATCCAATCACATTTATTTATACCCTGAACATAAACACGCGCACATAATTGTATAGGCCTGAAGACGAAGTAGGGAAAACAAGCTTTTTCGCTAATATTGTTTGGCTTTTGATATTCCAGGTCTGTCATTGATCGGCCTCTGCTCTTTTGGGCAGGTGACCAGGTTGTGGAAAGAATAATGTCCACTTCTAGAGGATTGGTCGTTTTCCAATAATAACTATTTCAGAGATGTAACGGTCACCGATGGTCGGCGGCGTTCTCCGTGAACTTGGCTGAGTGAATACCTGACAAGTGTCTTAGATGCCACGAAAATCCAGAAATATCCGTGACTCAACAGTGATCAGCAAATCTCCTCAAAGGAGGCCTTTTGTTGTACCAGGTATAGAGGAGCTTTCTAAGAGAATTGGAAGTTCCAATAGTAGCTATCCGTGATGACCAGCCTGCAGCAGGACGTGGTGTAATGGCTTGCGTGCCACCATGGCCCCTTGAGTCACACAGAATGAATTTTCGCTGCCGCTGATCTAACCATGCCTGAGGTTAAATTCGCAGGGATCAGATGATGCTCCATCTCACTAGGTCACCTGATTGGGCACCTCTCGGCTTTCTTTGAATTTATACTCTTACCCCTGAAGAGGTCAGTCCAGCAAATAAACACGGGGAGAACCAGTTGACTGAAAAAATCTCCTACTTGATTTGTGTATTAGCTGCGTAAATTGGTCTTTCTCTCGATGATGAGAGAAGTAGTCGCATTTCATTTTACACCTGCCACCTGTCCAAGCAGCGTGGCCCCTAGCCAATAATGTATTGTTCAGTTCACATGAAGCTAAAGCCTGATTTCAAAAAGTGGATCGTAAATCGTCGCATTAGCGCAACGTACACTGAACCGAAACCCGTGGGTCTTGAATGGAAAGTCTCCAGATCCTCCGACTCTGAGGCTTCACAGCGATGGACTGAAATTAACCACATCGTAATCGGGCACCGCTGGTGGGGATACACATATGACTGCCGCTTTCCCTGGTCAATTCGTGAAATATGGATCATGCTCTCCCCACACCTGGTAAACAACCGCAAGGAAGTAAATGAAGATAGATACAGACAATATAATCTAAGCGACATTTAAAAATTATCGCTTCTCAGTGTAATAATCAGTCGAAAGAAAAAAGTGAACACTGGACGTCCACTAAGGAAGCTATCTGACTTTCAATTAATACAACGGTTTGTTTCGAAGCGGGATCCAAGCACAAGCGATGAATTTCGTTGACCTCATCCGCCTTGATGGACACTCACAAAATCGAATTCCTCCGGATACAAAATACGATACAGTGCGCTAGTCCCTGAAACAAGACCACGAGCAATGGTGGGTAGCTGCGTTTATTGTCAAGTATGTTCATTTCTTTGTTTATTGAAGGATAATGGCTCAACGAAAGTAGGATTCCGATGGCACGTGTATTGAACTCACATATGCAACGAAGCCGTCTTGACCGGCTGGCTGCTGGCTCCCATGGACAAAGGACCAACCAATCCCTTTCGCGGCTGGGCTAATACTGTGAAAGTGCATAATGTTACATCCGGAATGGGCAGTTCAGTTCTCAACCTCATTTAACTTATAAAGTTATGGAGCAAGTATACTAAGTTTGCCATTCGGTTAGCTATATTTCATCAGACGGACGCATCACGGAGAAAATGTTGGTTCACATACGTAAGGTTGGACTGGCGTTTACCAACTTGAGTCGTCCGTGGCACGGCTGCTATATTCCGTTGTCCGTGAAGAGTTGTGTAGATGTAGCAGCAGTTCGGTCAGTTCTGCTATGCGATGCAGACTCGAATATTACGAAAACAAGGTGAGTATAGACTATCGGCTTTCGAACCCCGCGGTCTACCCAGGCTTGCATGCGTCCAATATAGAAACCAGACAAACAATACTGAGGTTAGGTGTAGAGTTTTAGTCATTCGCGGTTACCTACTGGGGCAATCAATGAACTTCCACAGGTTACACCGTTTTTGACATGTTTTATTTTGACCACCCTTGGCTTAGTTCCAACCACTTCCTACTACAGCAAGCATCGCGCGCCGTGGCAACCCATTTGGTAACATGCGTAACACATGCCCCAAACAAAGTCATCTATGGATGTTGACCACTTTTTCCAATGGGTGACCGTGTTTGCCTAAAACTCTTCTCTTAAACTCAGCATTGATCTCCCGTCTGACCCACCAGATTGATGCAATGCTGCATAGACAGCGGTCTTCAAGCACTGACAGTCTATCATTATCCTGTCTTCCTAATGGTCAAGTTTCTGCACCTTATAGCAGCACTGGCCGAACGGCTACAGCATATACTCGACCCTTCACGGATAGCCGAATGTAGCAACGGTGACACAGATGTCTCCGGCTGGTACCTGCCAATGGAGCCTTCAGTATGCGAGCAGACACTTCATCCGTAGCGCGTCCTACAGATGAGATAAATCTAAACACAAAACAAATCTTGTCCACCTATTCTAATACTTCCACAGTTAGAGTGAGGCTGGGCGCTGAACCAACCCAGTCTTGCTGCGTATTTTTACACAATGAAGGTGCAAAATGCATGCTCAACCTGGCTGCGCTGGCACTCAAACTAGTCAGAAGAGCTTGTAACCTGGATCGTCACTAAGCAGTACAATGTCGTTCGTGTGCTCCATATCGTACATTCTGCCATCGGTGAGCAATGGGGTTCCGCTATCCTCGCATAAGGAGATTACTTGTACACAGTCAAATCTCTAAAAGGCCGCATGGAAATGGATAGAGACCGCAACCCTGAATAATACCATATTCCGTGGTGAACTCGGGTGAAGAAGTGCCTTGCGCTCGGACACGGCCTCAGCTATTAGTGGGAAGAGATAGTAAACTTAAAATTAACTTCTCAGGTAATCCCATCAGGCCGAGGCAGCGCCAGAGTTTAAAGCAGTCAACTGAGTCGAAGGCCGTTTTCAGATCGAGGAATTTGGAAATGGCGAGTCTAAGAAAGAAGTGTCTGTGTTCTAAGGTGTGTCGCAAAGTGAAAATGCAATTTAACCAGCCTCGAGTTGACCTAAAGTTGACCAATACCGCGTGACTACAGTCGTCTTTACAACAAAGAAAAAATGAAGATGTATCAAAATGGTAGTGGCACAGTCTTCAGGGTACGGTTAAATTATAGAGCCACCGGATATCGTCGATTTTGGTTGCTTTCTGTCCATCTAATCTTCATCCTTCAGCGTAAACCATTTTATAGACTAGCCCAAGTTATGCTGACATCCAGGTCAAGTATAACGGTACTGCGCGGAATGTGATTGACGAATTTGTGTATGGTTTGTAGGGATGCCATAGAAGAACCTCATCGAAGCACACATGAAACGATATAATTTATGGCCCCAAAATTTCACAAAACATTCTGAGACCTGTTTTATGTGCTTTCAGAATTTTGAAATGCAAAACTCATCTTTGATTGCACTGTTCTAACAGCATTCTTTCTACACATATATTGAGCAGTTCCTGTGGAATGTACGGAACATGGGGCATGAGCGAGTACCCGTCTGATTACAAACTGAGACAATCACATGATTACGCAACTAATGCGTCACAGGACACGCATATCAAATCAGCTGATGAAT